CTCCCAAGTGTATGTGGGCTAAAATCTAAGCTAGTCTTTTTTCTTAACTTTAAGAACCAACATACACCTATTATTATAAAATGATAAATTTAAAAAAAATTTTAAAATAAATTTTTTAATAATATTTTTCTATGATGAAATAATATTTATATTTTAATTAAAAATGTATTAAATTAAATTATTATTATCATTTATTTTTTATGTTCATTAAATTAATTAATTTATTTATTATATAATAAATGATTTTTAATTAACCTCAATTAATAAGATAAATGTAAGAATAATATGAATCTAATATATAAATTATAAATAGTAAACATAAAATTAAAGATTATTATATATTAAACTTATTAATTCATTTTCTGAAGTTTTATTGTGTTAAATTTAAAATTAAAATTTAAAATGAATATGTTAAATTTAAAAATTATATAAGATATTAATAATGTTTTGAATTCAATTTATTTTTTTAATAAAAAAGTTATATTATTATATGATTTTATTCATCTAAATTGATTTATTACGTCATCCTGGTTCGACTCCGGTTCGACCGGTTCGACCCCGGTTCGACCGGTTCGACCGATCGAACCGTGAACCGCTCTCTCTACCGGTTCGTTGCCCGGTCCGGTTTTCACAACCTTGCAAAATTCAGGATTTAAGAGACCAGGATTTACTAAATCCGAATTTAGTAAATCCTACTAAAATTGAATCCAATCCTATACCAAACACCCCCTAAGGGTCTGTTTGGTATCGGATTTACGTCGGATTTACGATAAATCCTGCCAAACGGTTTTCGAGGGCTCTGTAAATCCCAGTCCTCGGTAAATCTCGGATTTAGGAATTTACAGTGTCAATCCGGCATTTAGTAAATCCCTCGGTTCGGCGGGTTTAAGAATTTACGGACAAGGGAATGTACGAGCTTGCGAGCGAGCTAGTTCCCTTCGTAAAGGAAGGAGGAGGCGAATGTTACCTACGCAGCGAGCGAGCTCTTGTCGTGCAAAACACGCACAGCACGTGAAGCCGAAGCATACACGAAGAAATCAGGATAAGGAAAAGCGACAGCAACAAGCACGGGAAGAAGATTAAAAGCAAACCCTAGACAACCTCCTAAAAAAAATTAATTTAAGTTAGCATTATTAATATAATTTAAAAATTAATAATTAATTAGATTAAATTATTAATTAAATAATTAATAGTGTAATTAAGTAATCTAATTTAGCTTAACTAATTAATTAATAGTATAATTGGTCATTAATTAAAATAAAAATAGTTAATTACATATTTAATATTGTAAATAAGAATTAAATAATTAATTAGTAATTGAATATTTATGTAATTAATGGGATTGATACGTCCTGAAAAAATGATCTTGATCGGACATGAATCTCGAAGAAAAATCAAGTTGAAAACTTCCAAAATTAAAATTGGAACATTTGAACTTGATTTCAGCAAAGTTACAGTCGAACTGAGCTTCTCAGAAATACGAACCCAACGACACCAAAATCGACTCAACCCGAGTCAAATCAAGGGTCGAAGCGCTATTGGAGGGTTCAAACCACAATTTGGATTACCAAATGGTTTCCAAACACAACGTGCATATAGTCGAATCGAGCGGCTCGACGAGATGAATCCAACGAACCCAGGATCACCGAATTCCGACATCCCTAAGACATTCAAATGTCCATCAAATGGTCCATAATCAGGGGATTCAACATCGGCCATCCATTCAACCACTCTCCATTTTCCCTTGATCTCCCACCTATTTACGGGTTATGTCACTCTAAAAACCTATAAATAGAGCCCCTTTTTCTCTTGAAAAGGGACCCCAAGTCCAAGGATTCAAGAGAAATATCGGATATCGCTCTTGCCTCCTTGCTCCTCGACCACCGCCTGAGTTTCGCCGGACCACTGTCTGACGTCATTGCTCTACCGGACCACCCCTCGAGGCCATCACCTTTGCCGAACCACCACTTGAGGCCCTCACATTTGTCGGACTACCACCTTGGGCCCTCACCTTCGCCGGACCACCACTTAAGGCCCTCACATTCGCCGGACCACCGCCTGAGACCCTCACATTCACCGGACCACCACCTGAGACCCTCACCTTCGTCGGATCACCACCTGAAACCCCGACTTCTACCGGACCACCACCTGAGGCCTGGACTTCTACCGAACCACCACCTGAGGCCCGGACTTTTGCCGGACCACCACTTGAGGCCCAGACTTCTGCCAGACCACCACCTGAGGCCCGGACTTCTGTCGGGCCACCACCTGATGCCCAGCATTCTACCGGAGTACCACCCTACTACAACGGTCTTTCTGACCCCGATCTCCAGCCAACTTCGGTCTTTTGGACCCCTGTCTCCTGCCGACTATGGTCCTTCCGATCTATGTCGCCTACTACGGTCCTTCCGACTTACATCGTTAGACAACGATCTTTCTGACCTCGATCTCTTGCATACTACGGCCCTTCCTACCTACATCGCCAGACAATGGTCTTTCTGACCCCGATCTCCTGCCTACTACGATCTTTCTGACATCTATCCTATCAACTATGGTCGACAGTCCTGCCAACCAAACAAACATGTCTATGTCTATTATTGTAACTCCCACCATGTAATGCGATCTATAAGATGTACATTTGTGACATCAAGCCAAGGCCTTCTCCCTAAGAAGGGCCTTTGTAATCGACTGCAAATACTAGTGGATTCATTCAAACTGGGTCAGCCCGTGATTCCCCCTTTTCAGGGGTTTCTACGTAAAAACTCTAGTGTCTCTTATTAAAGCTACACCCTCTCTCTTATCTACTTGTGTGCTGGATCTTCGTACAACGCTAAGACGCTAAACTTTATATTTCTCTACCGCCGCGAATACTCCAGGACGCAACAGGGATAATTAATAATTAAAACTGTTCTGTTTGCTTTTTATGGACAGTTCTTGGTACTTTTCTGTTTTGTTTTTTATTTCAT